CCCCCCCCCCCCATTTCAAATTAAAAGCCCGATAGAATGATTTCTAACTGGAATGCTTGTGATGAAGCCTCTCATTTTAGTGTCAAACATTATGATTCTGTCTCCTCTCCCCCTCTCTCACCCACCCAGTCCCACCCTTTCAAAATAAAAGCCCCACAAATACAAGATTCAATCCAAGAGTATGAATCTAAACTGCAGAAAAGAGAGTAGTGCTATCTCAATTGAACCTGAATGACACTACCGGTAACATCGGCGTGTGTATATATTGCGATTTCTTCGGGCAGTAGAAGCCACACTGTCAAAATTTCTTTACGAATTTTCTAGTTCTTTATTTAGGCTTTACACCAAAAAGATATGGACTCATTCTAGGTGCTGCAAATCTTTTCTACAATAAATACAAACATGACCCCTTACTTGTACTTTCTTACCCTCACAAGTTATGGAAATTTATACATGAAAGTGAGACATTGAACAATTTGCAGCTTATTTTGTACTTATATATGACTGCTTTTACCTATTCAAACATTTAACTGTCATTTGTAGTACAAGGACACAGCCTGCCGGTTTTTAATGCTTTGTAGTAATATTATTGTGCAGTGTAACACTACAGGTAACAAGTGGAAATTACACAATGATTTCATGATAATGATGAACGGTGCAAAACTCTGGCACCTGCATGCACACAAACGCAGTTAGAAATGAACCTCTGAACAAGTTTGAACTCGGATGACCCTCTACATTCTCTACATTGTCCATGTGTCCCCAGTTGTTGCTGATCTGTAGCTTCACATATCTGAAGACCCCTATGTCTGGATTCTGGTCAGAGACAAGAGAGAGAAATGGATAAAGAGAGTCAGGCAATGTAACAGACACAAATGAAAGGATAGGACATCAGCGATAAAGAAGACATTTTGTTCTAATTCCAGATGTTCCTGGCATCTGTGTTGACCACATGGTCTTTGCATGTTTGTAATCTATAGTATTAATAGCAGCTCCACCTCTATCTCTGATAGTTAGTTTAACTACTGCAGTTTGCAGCCAATACCATGGCAGGACGAGGTTTCATTCTCAGAAGAACAATAAATAGTTAAAGCTAATCTCTGTTTATTAAGCTTGTTGTGGAGTCATCTGGTAACCTCACAATGTTTTTGAATGTGACCGAATAAAACGTTCATGAATGCTGTTCTGTCTAACTTATATCATACTCACGGGCAGTTCGAACGTCTGAAATGTTGCGCTGTCCTTAACGTAAACCAGTGTCCCCAGGTAGGTGCCTTCCTCATCCGTGGTGCTCATTCCCTAGAAGAGACAGAAAAGAAACAGAGATGAGCGGAGCCTTTTTGTTGTGCGCTGTGTGAACAACACTGACAAGTATGTGTGACACCCACCAATGTGCTTTCACATGTGAATTGGTGTGTTTTGGGTTATGTAAAGCCAATATGGTTTAGAGTGAGCATTGCATATGCTAGAAATATAATCATTTTATAAAGGACTGACGTGCTTTCACTGTGTATGGAGTGTGCATTCCACCCTGTGGCCAGCAGGGGGCAGGGTGGTGCTTTTTGCTTTGATTTGGGCAGGCTTTACGACAGTAGATTTAGACTACAAGTCTAAATCGTGAGAAGTTTTCCTCATTCTCAAGAGCAGGCGAGATGAGCAGACGTGAAATTGCCCTGTGTCATTTGTGTGTCCTGTTTACAGGTGGGTGAGGAAGGATTGAGTACTGAATGAGTCGGTTTAGATAAGCATATTGTTAGCGGCTAGGTAGCTAGGAGATGGATGTCTGAATATATATGTGTTTGTGTGGGTGTCTAGTTTGATTGTCCGTTGTGCCGTGTTAGCGAAAATGGCGCGAAAGTATTGTTTGTGGCTCAGTGAACATTTCGTGTGTAATATTGTCTAAGACTGTTAAAATGTGTTTACCATATGTTTTGCACCTTGTGTTTTTTGGTAAATAAATAACTCATTCTGACGAGCAGGCGAGATGAGCAGACGTGAAATTGCCCTGTGTCATTTGTGTGTCCTGTTTACAGAAACTTATCATCTGGCTATTTGGTACCAATCCTGGTACCTGTAACAGATTTTGGGGGCTCATCTGGGATCGGCACCACCGGAAGGCTGGCAGCTGATCCAGTGATAGATGCAATTTGGGACCAGAGCTGAGCTGATGCTGCAATCCATGAAAAGCTGTGGGAGAAAAGAGACGGATGTGGGCGTAGACTGGTGACCTGAAGCAGAGACGAAGTTGTTGGACTGTGGAACCGCACGTGAGGGTAAAGAAAAGAGATACGATGTCGGACAGTGAGAGGAAGAGCCTAGTGTGGGACATTAGGAAGAGCCTACTCACTTTGTCAGCAGATGAACTCTTTCAAATTGCCGAAATGGTGGGTCCAGAGCCAGACAAGGACCAGTCTGTGCTAGAAGAGGGAGATCTCGAGGGTTGCTTCGAACACATCAGCTCTTTCATGAACAGTCAGCGTCTTCTTGAGTTAGAGGACAACGGTATGGTGGATTTGTTGATGTTGAAGGACACTGTTGATAATGTTAAGTGTCACGACGGGGTAGTATTTGACATAACTGTTAATGATGATGCCAATGTTCATGACACAGTCACTAATGACCAACCCACTGACACTACTCATGCTGCAACTAGTTCAGCTAGGTCAACTAACTTTAGTGACACAGACAACACAACTGCAGT